TTTTTCAATTAACTTTCAACTGCATGCTTTGTTATCTTAGAGTCATACAAAAATAATTTTGGCAGTTCACCCTAATTTTTTATTCAAATTTTCCGGGTGTTCCGTAATGTCTTCCGATATGCTTTTAAAATTTTTGCTGAAAATTAAGAAGAAAATTTTTTTTATTGTCGGTCTCCAGTTAATATGTATTCATCTAAAAAGAGTTATCAAACAAACTTTAACATGGTTGCCACTCTATAAGAAAAACCTGGAAAATACAAGAAATTTAAAAATCAGCTAAAGTAACAGAAAAAGGAGTTTTTCCTTACAAACTGTTTAAAATACAAGGAATTTTATTTCCTCTTTTAAAAAAATGTTAATGCTCTCTTTGGGATAGAGAAGGAAGATATTTCAGCTATCTCATATACTATAGCATTATTTGTTTTAAGTAACCGTTCCTCTAAGTTTTTCCAGCAATTAAAACTGGTGTAGTTAGCCCGACAGTAGTTCTTTCCTTTTAATATATTGTACTTTGTTTTCTTCCAAATTTGAGTGGCAACCCTGTAATACAAGTTGAAGGACAGCTTATTTCCAACAAAATATTGAAAGGTGACCCCAAGATGCACATCAATTTGTTTAAACCCTGCTCTAGTTTTGTATTTCAATTATCCAGCTGTCCAGGGTGGATTTACTACCGTTTAGCGGTACCTTCACAAATTCAACTTCAGGAAAATTTCACAAAATACTATTTTTTTTGTACGACCTGACCGAAAATGTTCTCGTAATGAAAATAACTTTTAGTGCTAGTACTGTTCACTGCATTTGTTTTTTAAATTCAAGTTGAAATTTAACTAAGGACAAGGATTTTTATATTTGGGTATTACAGTAACAGTTTTCGAAAATATTTTCTTACATATATTTCGAAATATTTATATATTTCTTACATATATTTCGAAAATATTTTCGAAAATATTTATTTACCCTGTTTTTGTGTTTATTTTTTAATTTGGTGGGGGCTCCAAGGTGAAGCGATACCGGAGTGCTCAGCATCTGCCGATGGGACATTCGTGCTCTCTTAACTGTGTTTTTTGTATGTCTTATAAGAGTGTGCCAATGAATGTATATAAGAGTGTGCCAGAGTGTGTCCTTTGCCAATGGAAATTTAAAAAAATGTATTAAAACTCTAAATTGTTTTAAAGTTGTGGTGGCTTAAGGGATGGAGTTTTGTTGCCTTCTAGATTGCAAGGCTGCAGAATAAGGTTTAAATATTAGAATAAGAATAAAATTAGAATAAGGTTGGTTAATTATAAAATAATATAAATTAGTTCTGTTCAAGAAAAATTTAATACTTTTGTTTTCATTTCTCAAAACATCTTTAAAAGCATATAAATCATTATTTTTTTTTTTCTTCGAATATTTTTTTAAAAATAAATGTATTCATTGAAGTATTCACTAAATTTATTTCAGCTCTTGAAAGTTGATTTATTTTTTCCAGCTGCCTGATTTCTTCTACAGTTGATGTGTAATTGAAGCGGTCAATGTTAAAAGGGGGTATGTAACATTTTTACGAAGATAAGTTTTTTTTGTTGGTTTTGGAATCTGTGTAGGTTAAACGCAATGTTTAGTGTCGGGGGTTACATCTTCAGTTTTTGAAAAGTGATGTGTGCAACACACGTGCCCCATTTCCGCAATGACTATAGTTACAGTTGTATCTTGGAAAATCAGTTACCATACTTTTACAATATTCGATGACACTAATAATTATTGCAATCGGTGCTCGAACGAGGCAATGTTTCCTCGAGTGTGACAAAGTGAGGCCTATTAACTGCGATATTATTATTGAACACTTAACTACATGTGCTTAATATTTTAACATAAGTGTTAGAAAATGTAAACAAATAGATGGGCAGTGTTTTCCTCCTTGCTGTGTCACTTCCTGTTGTTTCTAAGCGAGAAGGAAGTGGGTGTTTTTTGTAGTCAGTTATGTTTTTTGCTTTTGATAGTTATGCTCTTTTCTTGAAGAGTTATGTTTAGTTTTGTTTCTTTGTATTTAAAGTTTCATCTTCTCGAATAACTAGGGTATCCGCACACCTAGAAAGTCATGAAATTCTGTATTGAACAAAATTTGTCATGAAATGTCAAGATTTTAACTTTTTTTCTTTTCTTCTAAACTCATGGAAAGTCGTGGATTTAGGTCAACGAAAAATCATGGACCCTGAATTTTCAAAATGGATTTTACCCATCCCCATAATTTCATGATGTAACAAAATCCCCACTCGCAGTCATGTTTTATTAAAATACAAAATGTTTTTATCATGTTCTTTATAAATTATGGTCTTCTTTCAAGAAATGAAAGGAAAAAACATCATTTCTAGAGCGAATGATCTTTTTAACTTCTGTGATTTCAGAATTTTTATTATTATTTATTTTTATTTTATCAATTTAAAATTCTAGCTGAAGCAAGCTAGTTTTTGGCGAATATTTTTTATTCCAAAATGAGAACAGAAATATCAGGAGTATTTCTGTCCTTTCTAATGAACAAGAAAAGTATCTTTAGATTATAATTCTGCAGAAAAAAAGAAAAATTATTTGCTGCCCCCCCCCAGCTATTTTATTGTTCCAACTCGTTCCTTTCTCTGTTTTTTAAATTTAAAATCTATAAATATGAAGACGCAGAGTATAACTGTTTTGGTTACACCTATCATTTCAATTAATGTTATTATAATGCGTTTTAAATATAATGTTCTGTTTTTGTCGGGAGAAAATAATAACTTCGTTAAGTCATGAATTTAAAAATCTAAAATGTAGCAGATACCTTGATAACTTTTTGTGAATTTTAAATAGATATCTGAATAAGTTGTTTCTTCTTTTCAACAATAAGTACAGGCATATTTTATATCAGAAAAACAAGCCGATTTCCAACTAATCAATCCCGCTGAAACAATAAAAATGATAGATTCGATGCTTGGTGGGGAGGCATATTGAAGAGGGCTCACCAACATGTGTAGTTATTCATCAGTAACTACCAAATAGCTTTTGAAAGAAATGTTATCAAAAACAGGAGAGCGAAAGATTATTGTGAAATGTAGGCTTTATGAAATATTTGAGATCAAACAGAGAGAAATATTTGATCAGTATAAGTAACAAAATTTTTCAACAAAAAATAAGCACCTTTTAAGTATTTTTTAAGCACTTTAAAAAAATATTATAATTAGGATATGGTCACTCATATTTTTTTACCTTCATATTGTTGAAAGTTCTTCATATATATGTGCTAACAAAATGCAAAATAGTTTTCTAAGTGACATGATCATAATAAAATAACTTGTTTCTGACAAAGAATTCTTTTCGTGATTATATTAGCCACTGTAAAAACAATTTATGCGGAATTTTGAATGCATTCAATATTGAGTGAATAATTCCATTTTTTAAATTTATAATTTCTTTACACAATTATGTAATAGAAATTATTCAAAATTATAAATAATTAATTTAACTACTATTTAAAAAGATTATCTCTCTTGCAAAATGCTGCAGAGCTCATTAGAATGCATAAATCCTTCCCACCGAATCCAGCTCAGTACTCGAACCCGCAACTATTTCATAAAATGATTGGCGCTTTCGTACGCTACAGACCGATGGTATGTCTGTGGTCGTGGTTGAATGAATTGTGAAGACGTTGAATAGAACAATGTGAAAATCACGCTTTTTGCTTAATTTGAGGCAAAAATTGATATAGTTATGAAGAAAAATCTCATTTTGGAAAAGGGAAAATGAAGCACTTTTTAAAAACACCCAATGAAAAAAAGCTTTTAAAAAGCAAAGGTCAAAAATAAGCACTTTTTAGAAACCCTACACACCCTGTTGATCCTTCACTTGACAGTAAAGGATTTCAGGATACCTATTTACAAAGCCTCATTGACCAGCAAGGGAACTCTTACAATCCTTGAATCAGGAGAAAATGGATGATTTAATTCAGTCAACACCTTCACGGGGAAAAATATTTTCTTTGATTATCATGTCAAGTAAGAGAGAAAGTGCTTTGTTTTTAAAAAAGCTTTTGCTGCACTTCATGGGAAGAGAGTCAGCATAGCTGCCAACTCTGCCAGTTTCTCCTGGTCTATAAAAACATAATTGAAATTCTCCTGCTTTTTGTGCATTTCCCTAAAATTTAGTAAATTTTCAATGGAAATAAAATTTTTGTACTGATAATTGCTTGCTTGAATACATAAATAAGTATCACTAATGTATAATGGAGCAAACCTCATTTACAGAAATCAATTAAAACTTTTTTTTTGTTCTAAAATGATCCATTCATTCAGTTCTCTCTTTTTAAATTAAATAATAAAAAAAAAATCTTTTAACTAACTTTGATGAATTTTGAAATGAATATTAACTTTGATGAATATTTGAAATTATGAATAAAAATACGCAACATTTCAAGTATGTTTAAAGTTAATCATAGCTGGAAAATATTGCAGTTTTTCTATTTTTGAGGACGATAAAATTCCCTATCGTACAATATTGAGTACATTCTGCAACAATTTATATTGGATTTTTTCCTATTCATGTTGGTGGGTATACTCTTAGCCAAAAATTTAGATTTTTACGAGGAAAAAGCAGAAGTAGTGTGAAAATTATGCTCAGAAGCTATTCACATCAAGAAGTTTAATTTGAGACATTATGGAAGTATCTTGATGCTCTTTTGAATGTAAAAAATTATGCACGGCCCATTCATCAACAAAAATCCAGAACTCAATTTCATACACATATTTGGAATACTGTAAGAAACCCAAGCAGGGGAGCCATCCCCTCTACAGAGAATCGAAGTGGCGATGATGTGTCTTCAGATCATCCGGGGAAGAATGTTTCCCAGACTGACGCTAATAACTCATTGTGCAGTTCTAGTGCTACATAAATAAAATATCTATCTACCAATAATTTGGAACCAATTAAAACAATCTGTCCGCAATTGAGATGGTGGTTTTTCTCATAGGTGCAGATTAGTAACATTAACCGCTTCAATTCTTGACAGCTCCTTCATAATTTTTTTAATACTTTTCAATGTTCTAATTTTCTTTTATTATTGTTAGTTGTGAAAGATGGCAGACCATACTGATGAGAAGCCACCTGCTCCACCAGTTAGGTTAACCAGCACAAGGTATGTGTTCTTTCCTTTAATATTAATCAGGGATAGATAATAAGTCAGTATGTTGCAGTATACTATTGTTAGTCAAAGTGAATAAAAGTAACTTTAAAAAAAATCTCAAAATTAGGACAAAATCTTGCTGTACGAGGGTTGCTATTTATATTTCTGGCCTAATAATGAAAAAACAAATATGTAGGATCGAAATTGGTTTTATTGTTTTTCAAAATATTCTCCATGATGATCAATACACTTTTGCATGCGTTTGAACCAATTTTCAAAGCACTTTTTCCAGTCCGATTGAGGTAACTCCAAAACATGCGTTTTGAATGCATCAACCGCTTCTTCGGGGGTCGAAAATCGTTGTCCACGTAATTTATTTTTGATGTGTGGGAATAAGAAGAAGTCATTGGGTGCCAAATCAGGGCTGTACGGCGGATGACCCATCAGTTCGATCTTTCGCTCCGTCAGAAATGCCTTTGTTTGAGTCGATGTGTGAGAGCTCGCATTGTCATGATGAAGAATGATTCGCCTGTTCTTCTGCTTTTTTCGAATTTCTCCGATGACTTCTGGCAAACAAATGGTCGTGTACCATTCAGAATTGACCGTCCTGCGTTGCTCTAACGCCACTGTTGCCACATGACCGTTAATGCCGAAGAAACAGGCAATCATTTGTTTCGATGTGCTTCTTCCTCGAACAACTTTTGTTGGTTTTGCCTCGTCTTGGAAGACCCATACAGTTGATTGCTGTTTTGTTTCCGGCTCATATGCATAGATCCATGATTCGTCACCTGTGTAGATGTTATACACAGCCTTTGATGTACCTTGAACGTATTTTTCCAACATTTCCTTGCACCAATCGACACGAGCCTTTTTTTTGAGCGTTTGTCAGATTATGCGGGATCCAACGCGAACAAATTTTTATTACGCCCAAATGCTCATGCAATATTTTATTGATGCTAGTCACACTAATGTCCAAAGACGCCTCTATCTCACGGTATGTCACATGACGATCTTGCTTTATCAGTTCACGCACAGCATCGATCTTTTCTGGCACAACAACGGATTTTAAACGACCTGTACGGGATTCGTCCTGGATCGAACATCGACCACGATTAAATTCGTTATACCAATTTTTTACAGTGCTGTAGGATGGCGCTTTATCGCTGAATAAAGAATTAAGTTCATCGAAGCACTCTTGTCTTGACAATCCACGTCGAAAGTTATGAAAAATAATGGCACGAAAATGTTCACGATTCAATTCCATTTTTTGAAAGAGAAGAGCTTTTCAATTTACTGTCAACAGCACAAATGAAGCTATAATGGTAAATCGTCTGTGGTCGCCTAGCAACACATACTGTTGCCAAGGCCAGAAATATAAATAGCAACCCTCGTAGAAGGAAGAAACAGCTGATAGATGAAAAGATAAAATTTGCTACTATGTTATCCAATCAATAATTGTGACTTGGTAAAACGTTTGCCATTGTGTTATTCTGCTAAATCTTTAAATTGAGTAATTTTTCAATTGAAAATGTTTTGTATTCTAATGTTTTTAGTGTTGATCCACTCTAAATCTCCCACATTCAGTATATATATTCTACTAGGCTCTTTAATTAAATAGGTACTTGATTGAAAATGTCTATTTAGATTGAGCAAAACAAAATTTTATAATTATAAAAAATTGATGGAGAAGGAAAACCAACATATCAGCTGTGGACAACAGATTATTTTTCTTTGATGCTATTATAAAAGTTTTTTGTTTCTTTTTTTTGTTTTTGTTTTTCTAGTTTTTTTTTATTTTTAAAGTACACTTGCAAGTATCATTGGATGATGTTAAGATTTCAACATTGCGATGTATCGTCAGCATAGCTATATTTTGATATATCACTGTTACACTAATACTTTTGCATTCGTTATTGTGTTATTTCGAATTCTTGCACTTTTTGATTAATAAATTGAGGCAATTATATTCTTATAATAAACTCAGTCCTCTTTTATTTTGCAAAAAATGCTATAAAATTGTCTAGTAATCAACAATAAATTTTATTTTATTTTTTAATAAAAAAAATAAATAAATCATGATACATTGAAAATAAAAAAAGGAAATAAAAAATTGAATAACATGATGCAGGAGGGGGAGATTGTGACAAAAATGAGTCCTCTGTTATCTTTGTCATTAAATAAGTAATTATGAATATAAAAATTAAAATGTACATTGAGATCATTCATTAAAATCTTCACAAACAGAAAAATAAAAACTTTGCTGATGAATTGAGGAACACCTGGCGCTGAGATGCAGGTAACTCCCCCCTCCTGCACACACCTTAAATTTAGTCCATTACTATCAATAATAATAATTTAAAAAAAAGCTCTTCACGCAAGCTTGGGGTCATCCATTTTGTGGTCGGGAGAAGTGATCTGTCGGAAATGATGCACCGTGAAACATAGCCGAGTCCTACTTGCAAGGAAGTGATATGATATTTTTTATTGCAGGGACTCCACAGTTGCAGTCGACATGCGGCCTTTACCAAAAGAACCTGACAGTGAAGATAAGAAAAAAGTGAAGCTAAAAGCTTCAAAAAGTAAATTATTTCTCTCACACATCAAAACTATATTGCACCAGGCCAAATTATTAGAAATTATACTTTTAAATTTAGACATACATGTAATGGGTTTTTTATATACTTCCTATTTGTATTTATTTATTGCACTAAAATGTTAACTCATCGATACACGAGCGTAAACGAGTACAATTCTGTTTCAGTCGCATTCTCGCATGTGTCAGTTGCAGTCGTGTTTATGTGCTGTGTTTATTTATTTTGCAGTTTTATAGTCAGTTATATGTTGTTTTTTTTTGTGTACAGTGTATAAGTAATCAATTGGAAACATTTTATCATGGGTAAAAAAAAAGCAATCTTTAACCATGTGCTGTAAGTTAAGGCCCTCGTGAAATATCACGGAGGTGGAAGGTTTCTGAAGCTAGCATTCGACACACGAAGAAGAAAATTGAACCCAAAACGAAAGAAAGGATGCGGCAGAATCTTATAGTGCCTCTAATAATTTGGCCAGGTTTTCTAATTAGTTTATTTTTAGTTGCTTTCAGCTAGTAATTAAGTGAAATAATTAATTATACTTATGATTGTTGTGTAACATTAAGTCAATATAAAAAAAAAAAATTAAATTTACTTTTTGCAAACTACACATGTTATTTCAATTAATATGCTGTTTGATATTTCGCCTATTAAAAAATAAATGTTAATATATATTTATTATTTTATTTAATATTGGTAGAAAAAATTTTAATTATAAGGTAACTAATTTTTTACATCACTTTAAAGTATGTAATTTTAAATGGTCAAATATAAAATTTGAGCAAAATCGGTTGAATAGTTCCCAAGAAATCGAATTTTAAATATACGACTTCTTTAAAATTCTATTTCTCGAGAACCATTTATCTGATTTTGCTCAAATTTCGTATTTTGATTTACATAAAAATTAAAGTTACACACATTATTAAAGTTACATACTTTAAAATAATGTAAAAAATTATATACCTTACAATTAAACATTATTTAGACTATTATTAAATAAAATAATAAATTTATACTAGAATTTATTTTTTACATAGAATTATCTTTGAATAAAAGAATTGTATAAGTGAGTGCAAAAACTTTTCAATTTATTTAAAAAGTTCTTGAGATATGGCAAATTACACAAAAAGTAAAATTAACATTAAGGGGTCCAAACTATGGGGACTATAGGGACTCCCCCTATTAATTGGGAGTCAGTTTGACTAAGTTTAAAACACTGGAAGATGAAAAGAACTCTCCCCCCCTAAAAAATTTTGTTTTATGAAATGACTGCTTGTCAATGAAATGAACTATTATTGCTGTAAAACTCACTCTTTTTCTATACAATTATTTCATAAATCATATTTTTACTCATGAAATTATTCATGAAAATAACTATTTATTTTTATTTTGTTATGAATATTTTAGTTAAAAAAAAATTTTTTTTTTAACAAAACATGTTAAAAATGAAATTAGTTCAAGAACTATTAAAAAATAAAAGGTGTTATTAGGCAAGATACTGCAAAAAGGATATTTATATATTTTTTTTCAAATAGAGAACTTTATGCAATTTAATTTTATTTAAGATGTGTAAAACTCTAATTTTATTTTTATTTATTATTATTTTTTTTTGTTCTCAGTATATTCAGAAGCAATTAATATGATACATAGCTAAAAACGCGGCTGGATTTTGTCTATTTCTTCTAATCTACTGGTTTAATAAAAAATTCTCCTAGTTTTTTGAACTTGTTAGAAAATTCTCTAAAATTGAGTAAATTCCCCCCCCCCCAAAAAAAATCCCTGTTAAAATAGCATTTTGCACAGAGTATTGCTTTCTTGAGTATTTAAATATGTATTAATACTAATATATAATGAAGAGAAGTCTCGTTCGTAGAAATCGCATCGAAGTGTTTTTTGTTCTAAAATGTGCAATTTATTTTTCTTCTTCAGAACTCTCATTTTAACTATCTTTGATGAATTATATTCGCCTATTAATATTCGAAATTATGAATAAACATAATACATTACATTTCAAGTTCATTTTGTGTTAATTGTAATTGGAAAATATTGCAGTTTTTCTATTTTGATGACTATAAAAATCCCTAAAATTCCCTATGTGAAATATATTTAGTGCATTCTGCAGCAATTATTATATTATTTCGTAAAATCTAGTGGTTTTTTTAATATCCGTGTTGGCAATTACGATGAGCTACTGTCCAAATTGACTCTATCCATTTGTGAAAATTCTTTTAATATTATGTTTTTAAGACTTATTTCATTGTTCTTTAGGTACAAAGAAAGAGAAAAAAGAAATGCCCATTATATCACCTCCTACAAATTTTGAGCATACAGTTCATGTTGGCTTTGATGCTGTCACTGGGGAATTCACTGTACGTATTTTTATTCATCTAATTGTGATTCTCAGCCTTTGTCACTTTTAACGATTGTGAAATTTGCCAGCGCACAAGGAAAAAAATAAGTTTAATAAAAGTTATTTACGCACACTGTGTCGAATAGTTTATGATAATAATTTTGAATGTGATGTAAAATGTTATGTGCTACAAAAACACGTTTATTAACCTTTTGCTTACGGCTGGTGCAATGTGTCATGGTACACCGTAAGCAAAGGGTTAATTACCTTTTTCAATGTGTGCAGTCTTCTTTCCCTCTCATGGCTTAATAGTTCTTTTGTTTATATTAGTTATTAACTGTTATTTTTTTGCTGGTTTTTAATTATTAGCTTGTTTTTTTATATTTATTAATTGTTAGGTTTTTTTTGACATTATTTTTTCATAATTCCTTGTTAACCTGTTTCTTTCTTTCTTTTTTTTTTTTAAANTTTTATTTTTTTTTTTTTTTTTTTTTTTTTTTTTGCTAATTATTAATTGTTAGCTTGTTTTTGTTAGTTATCTTTTGTTAATTTGTTTTAATAATTATTAATTGCATAGCTTATTTTAATTGTTAGCTTTTATTTCCTTCTGTAAGTTAATATTTAGCTTACTTTCTTTTAATTAATAATAATAATTTTATAGTCGTTAAATTTTCCTGCTACTTATTTTAAGATTGTCAGAGTCGTTACTATCGCCGTGAAAGATGTTCACACAGTTTAAACGTGGCAAAATTATAAAAAGTGTGCATATGTATCTATATCAGGATTGCCACAGGCGACTAAAATGCAACTATTTTTGGCATGAGGCGACTATGGCAAATTTTTTTGCCTGGAAAGGCTAAAAAAAACAACTATTTTTAGGAAAAGGAGACTATTGGGAGACTTATCTGAACTCCTAGCGATATATATATATATATGTATTTTTAAGCATAAATTGGGTGCGAAATCTGCACCCCACAAGATAGTTTCTGAAAACACTGAATCACTTTTCAAATATATATATGTGTGTGTGTGTGTGTGTGTGTGTGTGTGTGTGTGTGTGTGT